GCACTGTCTAACAATTTACATTTAAGGGCTCATGTACACTGCAGCTTTTAAACTGACATTCAGGAGCTGTTGATTGTTTTTTTCAGCAGCCCCTGGACTCTCCCTAATGTTTTCCTATATGTCCATGTACACACAGTCGTTTACAGTCAGTTGAGTTTACAGCCATTTTTTTGAACGCATGAAACTTGCGTTCAGAAGATTTTACCGACGTTCCAAACGCGTGTAAATGCGGTGTTTATAAGCATTTGCATTTAGAAGCGTTTAACTGTTCCATGTCCAGATGCTGTCCAGAGCCTTTTGTCATCATCAGAAATGCATACAAAGCGTTTTCCATGTATTCAAATGGACCCGGTACACCAGTGCAGTCAGTTCCAGGGTTTGCGTGAACGAAAAAATAATAGAACGTGCCGCATTATGCTCATGATGGGATTCATAGTGAATACAACCAGAAAAGACAGGTCATCTCAACACATAGTGATCTTTCTGCTTCTGCTCTCTCTATTCCTCTCAAAATGTCTGAAATAGTTAATTTTTATTATTTTTCAGTGCATTCTGGGCATTTTGGAAGGTCTCCTGAGGTTATGTTTTAAAAATGCTTCCAAATGCACATAAACGCGCATAAACACAGTATGCAAACGCGGCTAAACTGACGTATTTTACCCTACGTTTTACAGCAGTCAGTTTCTATCGTTCAGAAGAGTTTTCCAAACACCCCGTGTACATGAGCCCTTAAACCTATTATTATTATAAGCAGGGGTGGACTGACAACTCATGGGGCCCCCGGGCAATAGGGGATCATGGGCCCCTGTGTCCTTGCCCAAATTTAAAAAAGCCTATGAAAAAGGTACCAGGGGCATCTCATGGGGCCACCTACTGACCCCGGGCCCTCAGGCAGTGTCCGAGTTTCCAAATGGTCAGTCCGCCCCTTATTGTAAGCTGTCACGAGCAGGGCCCTCTGTTTCCTCTTGTACCAAATTGTATTGTAACTGTATTGTCTCCCTTTATATTGTAAAGTGCTGCACACACTGTTGGCGCTATATAAATCCTGTATAATAATAATAATTTATTATCTCTATTATTTTCTAATATCCTGTATGTGGAAGCTGCACTGCCTCGCCAAGGTTCCTCTGTCAAGTGCAGTCCTAACTCTTAGTCTCCAAGATGGAGCATATATTGTATAGCAGTGGATACAATGGACAGGTATACCTGGAGGGAGCCCATTCTTTCTAAAAGGTGCAGAAATCCAGCAAGGTGCACATGGCAGGGCATTGCACATTATAAAACAAACAAATATTTTCTCAGCACACTTACCAGCTAGCCTGCAAAAACAGAAACCCAAAATGGCACTAACACCGTGAATTATAATGGCAGTAATTGTACTGGAAGCGAGTGGCACTGGCAGGCCGCACAATGTACTGGTACATAGCCACCTGTAAAGTGAAACAAAAAACAAGAAGCGCACCAACCTTGCGCATTACCTCAGTAACAGAATTTATTAATAGAAGATAGGTACTCACAAACAGCAAATAAAATCAGGCATGTAGTCCTCAAAAGGGACTTCAAAGATAAGAAGCCAGCGCGAATCCCATCATGGGGGTAGACACTCAGTATAGTTGACGCGTTTAAGGCTATGCCTTCTTCCTCATAGCCTTCGAAACGTGTCAGAAAACTGAGTGTCTACCCCCATGATGGGATTCACGCTGGCTTCTTGTCTTTGAAGTCCCTTTGAGGACTACATGCCTGATTTTATTTGCTGTTTGTGAGTACCTATCTTCTATTAATAAATTCTGTTACTGAGGTAATGCGCAAGGTTGGTGCGCTTCTTGTTTTTTGTTTCACTTTGCAGTATTGATCGAGCTTCCCCAGCCCTGTTTTGGAGCTGCACAACCTTGAAATATACTGGTGGTCGCTTGCTCTGGTGTTGGTTCCATCTATTTGCCACCGGTCTGGGCCCTAGAGCGCAGGAGAAATCGCAGCACGTAGCCACCTGTATCATGGGTTGGGGCGTGCACAAGTTTGTCAGCAGGTCCTGGTCAATGAACCTGCTGATCGGCTGTAGCCAATCACAGCACAGCCTGTGTCAATATTTACAAACAGAGGCAGACACAGGATCTGGCTGGATCTTCTGAGGGCTCTATTCACAAAGAGTTAATTTACGAACTGAGATACAATAACTCATAGCTTTTTTCAAACCTTGCTTTGCAAGTCACAAAAAAAGCTACTAAAAAATAAAGCATTCGTTATTCCATCAAATTGGGAGGGGAACCCGCTGACGGCTGATACATTACCGCATCACAAGGCTCCATGCACACTATCGTTTTTTTAAGTTCCTAGAAGCTATTATCAGTATATTTTTTTTTTCTGCTCCTAGAAACTAAATAGTGTTATCCTATGTAGCCATACACATGACTTTAGGCTATTAGCATTTTTTGAGCTTCAGCGTCTAGGAGCAGAAAAAAATATATATTTGCAGAGTTTTTTGGAGCTTTTTTCCAGCAGAACAAAAACGCTTAACACTGCTAAAAGCTACTCAAACGCCCCTAACAGTTTTTTTTCTTTTTTTTCCTCTACATGTACTGTAAAAACGCTAATAAAATGCTAATGCTCCTAAACGCTACTAAAACGCTATTATCGTTTTTTTGTCCAGAAATTTTCCCAGCGTTTTTGAGCTTAAAAAAAACGCTAGTGTGCATGGAGCCTAAAAGAACTCATGCGGTATTTTAGTATCATTTTTAGTGAATGCCAACATTTTTTTTGGAAAATGCTGTGCGGTATCTTACCGCATACATAGATGAAAAAAAGGTGACAAAAATACCAGTCAATGGGAAGCTGCTTTCACAAGACACGAGGTGTATCAGAAACAACTAAGTTAACTGCTTCTGCTCTGCCCTATAGCAGAAATACTGCTACAGGGCGGCACGGGTGCACAAAATCACGTATATATACGTGATTTTTCAGTGCCAGGTAGGGGGCACACGCGCCATCATTCGTGGCTTCGGCTTTCAATCACTGGGTCCCGGCCGGTGATTACTCGCCGGCACCCAGTAATCGCCGAGTATCTCCAACGGGGGAAAGACCTGTGTATAAACAACACAGATCTCTCCCGTCAGCTCCTGCACACCGCTTTGTATGGCTCTGCATAGCTATACAAACCAGTGTGCATACAGTGAAGCACACAAACAGCCCACATAGTGAAACAGCAAACAGCTAACCCTGTGATCACCCCAGATGTTAACCCCTTCCTGCCCAGTGTCATTAGTAGTGTCAGCACTTTTTATTAGCCCTGATCACTGTATTGGTGTCACTGGGGATGTCAGTGACACCAAATCAGTTCCCCCCAATGTTAGAATTCCCGCCGCAGTCCCGCTATAAGTTGCTGATCGCCGCCATTACTAGTAAAAAAGAAAAGAAAAAGAAAAAATTCCAGTATCTATACCCCCATTTGTAAATGCTATAACTTTCATGTAAACCAATTAATTTACACGTATTGGGATTTATTTTAGCAAAGACATGTCGCAGAATGCATTTTGACCTAAATTTATTATGAAATTAGATTTTTTAAATTTTATTACTGGACATGTTTAATAGCAAAAAGTCCAAAATTTAGTTTTTTTTTTCTCAAAATTGTCAGACTTTTTTGTTTATAGCGCAAAAATAAAAGACGTACAGGCAATCAAATAACACTGAAACAAGGCTCTATTCATGGGAAAAAAAGGACAGAAATTTCATATGAGTGCAGCGTTGCATGACTGCACAATTGTCAGTTAAAGTAACGCAGCACCGTAACGCAAAAAATGGCCTGGTCAGGAAGGGGGGTAAATCCTCAGGAGGGCAAGTGGTTAAATGAGGTAAATACAAAATATCTTTATAATTGTTAAATATTGAATGAAAACAGTATAAAAAAAAAAATCCCACACATATATAAATACCCTTCTTCCACCAATAAAAGACAATGTTGTCATTGGGGCGATTTTCCCCTCTATTACTTTTCTCGGGACAACCCAACATTTGGAATTTTCTTTCACTTTCAATGATCATGGTAAACAGGACAAATAGAGAGGGTGAATCTCCCTAATGGGGGCACAGACAGCATTAAAAATCTGATAGCGGTTCTAATTCACCTCCACTCCAAAACAAAAAAAAAATGTTGCCTGTAGTTATACTTTACATAAATCAGCCCCAATGATTCTGTGTTTTTGTATATTTAGCATTCTATACCTTTTCGGATCAGTTTCTGAATAGTAATGCAGAGACTCCTCCACTTTGGCTGTGAACCTAGGGTAAATGAGGGTGAATATCCCAATACACAAAGTCAGGGTGAATCTCCGAGGGAACTGAGGGGGAATTTCTCAAACACAAAAACACTTTGCAATTAACATGACCACGTTCTAACTCAACCCCAGGATTTGCAGATGTGGGAAAGGGGTTTTGGCTGGATTTGCAGTATACATTCAAATAAAAAAGAAAAACCACAGCAAACAAAAAAAACTAAGTGGCTAAGTTTGATTAAAGTTCTTCTACAAGAACATATTTTATTTATTAAATCAAATAAATAAAAGGCATTAATAAAAAGTGTCTCACACAAACATCCTGTGTGATGCTGAACAGCATGATTGGGGTATATATATATATATATATATATATATATATATACACACACACACACACACACACAAAAACATCATATAAATATAAACTATTTACAGATTTAGAACATCTATTCCGGTTTGGTTATCTCTTCACATGACTGTATCCTCCATGATGACTGTATCCTCTAACTGGCATATAGTCTCTGCACTATCCAGGGGTTCCGTTGCGATATGATGTGAGGTTTTGGTTTTAGATACCATATGTGCACAGACTGGGAAACACATAAGCATCTGAAAGTACTCTAATTGGAAGCAACTTTTGCTCCTGAACTACAGCCATGACAAAACCCATGTGTACAATGTAGCGATGATGGTTTGGCATTTTGGCATTTTGGCTCACAATCTCGCGGTTCAGCTGTTGCTACAATTCTGTTTGCGTTCAATTACGTCACGCAGGGTCTGCAGGATGGCCTCCACGTTGTTCAGCACATTGTATTCTGTCAGCTTTATCAGTTTCTCAAAATCTTCTTCACTGTATGTTAACCGGAACACTTTGTAAGGTGAAAACAGGCCAGACAAGGGAACATTTCCTTCCTCCTTCTCCTGATCAGTTTCTCTCTCAACACCTGCAGAGAAATAAGATGGGTGACAAGTGGCATAGTTCAGAGATGTGCGTTTTCCAATGATGCTGAATTCACATGAGGGAGGGATAGCAGTATTTTATTCATGGCAAGAGAGGGGTACTTTTATTTTGTTAGAAATAATTATTTGGTAATGCTAATATATGGCCTATTGATCTGTAAATTCTAATAACCATAGTATTAAATTCCACCAAACCAAGAGACCTATGGGGTTTACTAAAACTGGCCACCATGCACAGCTACAGCAGATTTTGCACTCTCCAATCAGCTTCCAGGTTTTACTGCCAAACTTAATTAAACAAGCTGCAGTTATGCGGGCCATAGATGGGATGAAAAACGACCGAAAATCGTCCGGGAAAAAAAAAAAAATCAGCTGATTTTCGGATCATTAGTGCGGTAATCGTCGGTCGGCCGTTTTTAGTGATTTTTGCCATTTTCGATTATCGGTCCTGCTGGAAAAACAAATCGGCCAAATTTGTCGTTCTGCCAATTTTTGCGGCAATGATGGACAAATCTGCCGATCTTTTTCCAATTTTAAAAAATGCGCATGAGCATGACATGAAAGAAGAAGGAAAAGAAGAAAAGGAAAAACATAGAATATGAAGGAGAAGAAGAAATAGAATATGAATAAAAGAGGAAATAGAATATGAATAAAAAGAAGAAATAGAATATAAAGAAGAATAGAATATGAAGAAGAAAAAAAGAATTTCCGTCCGATATTATATCTGACATTTAAAAGTATAGCAACATTGTATCTATTTGTATCCGAATAGAAACATCTGTAGCCGAAATGGATACAATGTTGCAACTTTTTCTTCTTTTTATTCATATTCTATTTCTTCTTCTGCATGTTCTATTTCTGCTTCTTCTGCATATTCTATTTCTTCTTCTTCTGCATATTCTATATAATTGCTGGCCGTAGACGGGCCGAAAATCAGCCGACTTTTTTTTTTACCAATGGTGGTAATGTTGGCTGATTGAACGTCCGTTTTTTTTTTAGAAAAAAAGGAAAAATCAGACGGTTTTCTCCCCGTCTATGGCCTGCATTAGAAGCCAATTGGCTACCATGTACAGCTGCACCAGATTCTGAGTGCATCAGTTTTCGTAAATTAACCCCATTATGTCGTGCCATCCTCCCATCATGGAAGCGGATTGGTTTCTATGCAGAGCTGCACCAGATTTTTCACTCTTTGGTTTTAGTAAATCAACCCCTAGATACAATATTCTGAAGCGCAGTGAAGACCCAATACCGTCAGGATCACAATAAATACTGCATTCACCAGAAAGTGGTCACTGCTGCTATTAACATCAAATAGATGAATCCAGAAGCTCCATAGAAGAACACAGTGCTGTGGTAGTAGTAATGTAAAAACCCCACTAGGGGGAGTACCTTTATTGTGATAAGCAAAGGGCACATGTAAAAACACACAAACCCGTGGCTTGGAAGGAGTGCCTGGGTCAGGTGGACTGCCAGTCCGCTCAGAGGAGATGGACTGTAGTAGTGAATGGAGCTGTGCCTGTCAGAAGCAGAAACCACGTGACTGCGGCGTCCTGGGATGACGTCACCGAGATGGCCAGGAGACGGAGGGGAAGTTCAGCGACATGACGTCACCGCGATGGCCAGGAGATGGAAGGGAAGTCCAGCACACGGCCGCAAGCAGGGAAGGAGTGGCCGGTTACCAAGACGACATGTTTCATGCACATGTGCTTTCTCAAGTCCTTTGTCAAGTCAAGACTTGAGAAAACGCATATGCGTGAAACATCATTCTGGTAACCAGCCACTCCTTCCCTGCTTGCGGCCGTATGCTGGACTTCCCCTCCGTCTCCTGGCCATCGCGGTGATGTCATCCCAGGACGCCGCGATCACATGGTTCCTGCTTCTAACAGGCACAGCTCCATTCACTACCACAGTCCATCTCCTCTAAGCAGACGGGCCGTCCACCTGACCCAGGCACTCCTTCCAAGACACAGGCTTGTGTGTTTTTACATGTGCCTATTGCTTGTCCCAATATAGGTACTCCCCCTAGTGGGGTTTTTACATTACTACTACCACAGCTCTGTGTTCTTCTATGGAGCTTCTAAATCAACCCCTATACCACTGAAAGCTGCAGAGAGATATGAAGTGCTTGCATATGCCTGCAGCATGGTTTACTATTCGCTGTCCTGACCAGGCAAAGGTTTCAGCAAATATCCCAGGTGGTGTAGGTAGCTAAGACCTACCCCCACATATTTCTATTGGTCCATCACTATGATGGGCTGCCTCACTGGCAAATCAGACTATTTTAATATACAGTTGTGTTCAAAATAATAGCAGTGTGTTGAAAAAAGTGAATAAAGCTCAAAATCCTTCTAATAGCTTTTATATCCATACACACAAATGCATTGGGAACACTACACATTCTATTCCAAATCAAAACATGAAGAAAAATATATAAAATTTGTGTTCCTCTAAAACAAATTGAAGAAAAGTGAATATTAGACTGTTCAAAAAAATAGCAGTGTTTGTATTCTTCTTTACAAACTCAAATATTCACTATATAAACTGAAAAATGTTTGAAGATTTTGCTTTCCTTTGAATCACTTAATGAATATTTAGTTGTATAAGCACTGTTTCTGAGAACTGCTGTACATCTGTGTTGCATGGAGTCAACCAACTTCTGGCCCCTGTGAACAGGTATTCCAGCCCAGGATGATTGGACTACATTCCACAGTTCTTCTCTATTTCTTGGTTTTGCCTCAGAAAACTTGTGGGGTGACATCAAAAATGCAGTTTCTATTGGATTAAGATCCGGGGATTGGGCTGGCCACTCCGTAACGTCAATCTTGTTGGTCTGGAACCAAGATGTTACATGTTTACTGGTGTGTTTGGGGTCGTTGTCTTGTTGGAACACCCATTTCAAGGGCATTTCCTCTTCAGCATAAGGCAGCATGACCTCTTCCAGTATTCTGACGTATTGAAACTGATCCATGATCCCTGGTATGCGATAAATAGGCCCAACACCATAGTATGAGAAACATCCCCATATCATGATGCTTGCACCACCATGCTTCACTGTCTTCACAGTGTACTGTGGCTTGAATTCAGTGTTTGGGGGTCGTCTGACAAACTGTCTCCGACCACTAGACCCAAAAAGAACAATCTTACTTTCATCAGTCCACAAAATGTTGCGCCATTTCTCTTTAGGCCAGTCAATGTGCTCTTTGGCAAATTGTAACCTCTTCAGCACATGTCTTTTTTTCAACAGTGGGACTTTGCGGGGGCTTCTTGCAGATAGCTTGGCTTTACATAGGCGTCTTCTAATTGTAACAGTACTCACAGGTAACTTTACACCTTCTTTGATCTTCCTGGAGCTGATTGTTGGCTGAGTCCTTGCCATTTTGGCTATTCTTCTATCCATTCCAATGGTAGTTTTTCGCTTTCTTCCACGTCTTTCAGGTTTTGGTTGCCATTTTAAAGCATTTGTATCATTTTAGCTGAGCAGCCTATCATTTTCTGCATTTCTTTATATGTTTTCCCCTCTCCAATCAACTTTTTAATCAAGGTACGCTGTTCTTCTGAACAATGTCTGGAACGACCCATTTTCCTCAGAATTTCAGAGAGAATTGCACTGTAACCAGCATGTACAACATTTGCTGCCTTCCTTCCTTAAATAAGGGCAATAATTGCCACCTGTTTTTCATGAATGAATGACCTCACTAATAGAACTCCACACTTCTATTATTTTGAACATGCCCCTTTCAATTAGTGATGCAATTACACAGAATCAGCAGCATGCATGTCATGACTGTTGGGTCTGTTGGATTTCTCTACTATACCTGCTAGTAAATTATTCGCCATGTAGAAATATAATTTCTACCAAAAACAGTGATTGATCAGGTTAGTGATGTCTGACTGCTATTATTTTGAACACAACTGTATATAGAAAAAATAAAGAATACTAAAAGCCGCTGCAGGTATGTGCACCTGTGTCTGCCTGCACTTTACACCTGCAAGCAGCTTCTATTTAATGTGTATGTAAGCCCTAACAATGAACTCCTTCTGGTCTGATTAATGTGCCATTAAGTATGTTTTGTTATATCTGTTTGATTAGCGCAGAAATTCAGCGCTGTACTGCATCCTCTGCACACTTCCTGACTAATCTCAAAGATGCTATTTAGTCCTCCCAGTTTTCATCTTGAAATAACCTTTATGTTACAGAAATCCAATGCTGGGAGTGGTTTAGTAGTTCACCAAAACACATTGGGCAGGGATGATGACACCACTCAGTATAAAAACTGCTGTGTGTTGTCAGCCTACAGTAGGACTTAGGAGCTGAGTACAATTTGCCTTGACATACACTTTAACCTAGTCCTATACAATGGATGTGTACGTTTTAAATAATAGTTACATTTACATGCGCTTTTGGACCAAATGAGCGTTGACATTTATTAACCATCACTAATGTTAAGAGGAAAGAATGGGGGTCTGTACTGATCGTCTCTTGGCTGAATTCTCCTTAAAATACTTCTAGTTGTCAAGCTGATCCTGAGGCTTCAGAAAGTTTCATGTCAGCAAAAAGTATGGAGATCAGGAGTTCTGACAGTGCCTTGGAAACTACTGAAGTGTTAGACAGCCAGGCAATTGGCATTTTTGGAACAGGTTAGCAATAGCAGCTTTCACATATCTAAAATTACAGGAAATGCAGACAAGAACAAATACATGACAGAGGTTATAACCTTCCCAAATGTACTTCCTGCTTCTGCAGATATTGTCTTTAATTTCTCCTAGTGACACAACAAGAAGTGAGGGGGGATGTCACAGAGACAGCAATAGAAGCATTTTCTAAGAGAAATATGGAGACTGCCATTGTCACCCTTACCAAAATACTAGTTGCCTGGAGATCTCATTAACCCTCTGGCTTCAGTAACTCATTAGTCAATGACCTGGAATAAATGAGCTCACTAAGACTGGGTCAATAAGTATTAAATCCATAGGAATCAGCAGGACAGCCTCCATATTCTTTCAGATTTCCTTTAAAGTATACTGTATGTAAATAATTTTTTCCCTTTTTGGTCTGTTAAATATACTATTGAGTATGTTTTGTTTTATCTGTTTAATATGTGCAAAAAAACAAATCTGTCTGTTCTCCCAGAAACCCTGTAAAGCAATAACTTCCTGCGCTCTGTGCCTGTACACGTGGAGGGGTTATGAAGATGACGGGAGGTCTGCGTTCTTTGTAACCCTTTAAAAATGCAGTAGGCAGGGCTGACACCATGTACTTAGGAGTTCAGATCTGTGTTGCATGTCAAAGGGCAAAATAGGAGCTCACTTTATTTCTGCCACATCAACAGTTATTTTTCTGTACTTGCGGTGTGTTTAAAGGTACACAACAATGGGAGATATCATGATATATTCGTTTTGTGTGGATCTTAAAGTGCTACTCTAGGTAAAACCCTTTTTTTTTTGTTTTAAATAGAATAGACTCTTTCAGGTTTTTACTGCTTCAAATGTATTGGTGGAGTGCTAAACCTAGGTGAAAAATAACATACAATTCTTGAAAGCGGATCTCTGCCAACAGGGGATTCCCTAAGGATTCCTGGAGCAGTCCAAACAGACAGTACCACAGGTTTATTTATCTTGACATCAGGTCACAGATTCTAGACATTGTGTTTTGGGGCTCACAACTCCCTCTGCATCAGGGCTTAAGTGCTGGTAAAAAAACAAGGATTTAAATGATTCTAAAATAAAACTGGAATTAGAGTCATTCACGTCCTTGGTTTCTTTGATTGCTGTCCAGTAAACTCAGGGCCGGTGCTGGGGGGGGGGGGGGGCAGATATAGGGGCAGACTGGGCCAGGGGCAGGGTGCTATTCCCCCCCCCCCCCCCCCCGGGCCACTCAGTCCTAGAAAAAAGTCTGCTCCACTCGCTATATTAGTGTCCTGTTCTGCTTTTTCATACTAGCCGCTACTGCCCACAGCCTGGTTGCTAGGACTGCCTGGCGTCTAGCAACCAGTGACGTCACCTAATGCAGGCCCCAGCATTCAGAGCGGAGGTTGGAGGAGGATGTAACTTTCTCCTCTTCCTCCTAGTGCTTAGTTCCACCCAACTCCTCCAGCCTCTGTGGCTCTGGATCTGCAATTGAGAGTCTCAGGTGAGGCCAGGCATCGGGGATGGAACCACATGTCATGAGGGACCTGAACAGAGACCTATACAGAAAGGAGGGCAGCTGAGCTGCTGCTGGAGGAGTACAGATGACACCCACAGAGAGGATGGGAGGAGGAGGTCATGTCCTTAGATCTCAGGGGTTCATGCTGGGATATGTAGTACTTTATTTTTGGGGGATGTTAAGGACTATAAGCCCCAGCATGAAACTCTCAGAGCTGAGTATGTGACACCCCCCTCCCTCCCCCACAACTAGTAAAGGACTACAGACATGAACCCCTGAGATTTAAGGGGTCACATCCTGAGATCTCAAAGTTTCATGCTGGGAATTGTAGTCCTTCACTTTTGGGGGGGCACATCCTGAGATCTCAAGGATTTATGCTAGAACTTGTAGTCCATCACTTTTGGAGGATGTGACCTTCCCCCCCCCCCCCCAAAAGTGTTGGAATGCAAGTCCCAGCATGAGCCCCTCAGAGCTGAGGATGGGACACCCCCCTCCCCCCAAACTAGTGAAGGACTACAAGTCCCAGCTTGAACCCTTAAGATCTAAGGATGACCCCCCCCCCCCCAAAAAAAAAAGTTATCAGTAGTTGGATTTGGACTGCAAATCATGCTTTTTAAATATAAAACTGTTTTAAAAATGTTGAAATTTTTTTTTTTGGGGGGGGGGGGTGCAAAGTAGCTGGTCTTGCTAACTGTGCAAAATAGCCTAGCACCGGGCCTGAGTACGCCCTGTTATGTGGCAGCACCTAAACCTTCATAAAAGGAGAGCTGTGAACCTCCAGAACATTCTGCCTGTGATCTGTTGGTAAGATAAACATTTACTGGACCTGATACGAGTTTTTATTGCTGTCTGTGTCCCCATTAGGGAAATTCACTCCATTTGTACATTGTCCATTGCACAGAGTAGGAACAGGATTTCCCCCACTAGCAGTTTTTTTCTAACTTTGTGTCACGTCTCTGGGACAGTAAATGAAGGTAAATTTCCCTTTTGGTAAATAGACAGCAGATGAACAACCTGACGGGTTTTAACCCTTCGCTACTCTATCAAAAACTAAACAAATAGTTCTGGCTAAACACAAAATGTAACAATGGTTTTTTTACAAGGCTGAACCTATGTCACGTGCAGCAAAGTCCCTTTATAGAACCTCTGCAGTCTACAAAGGTTGTATGGGTTGTCCCTAAAATATACAAGAAACCTGTCAAGGCTTAACCTCAGTTGTGAGGGTGGACTGCATCTTCAACTCAATGGCAATAAATGAACTCCTCATGGAGGGATACATTACCTGGCTGTTTGTACTTCCTGAATGTGTCATTTACTAATGGAAAGTGCATGATGATGGGAAAGTCTGGGAAGGCGCAGTCTGAGAAAACATAGCATTCCTTGGGGTTCTTCCTGTCCTCTGCAGTCACTTCGATTTTGGGGAAAGTGAGATTATGAGCAGTACAGTATTCTTTAGTTTGCACCACTGACTGGAATGACAGAAAATCAGAATTATTGTACAGTTAAACCAAACACAATTCTCAAAATGCAGAAATGCTTTATTCCAATATTATTCCTATTCCCTTCTTGCTGAAGAACTAAGATACTAGCTGGAAGCTCCTGCAGTTGTAAAATGAGCTCTGATCATATGTAACCAGGGGCAAGACTACATCCAGTAAGATCTATGGGTATTTGCTGTAACATCTCTCATGTGTCTGGATCAGGTCATGACTGCAAGGCTAGTCTATCAAATGCTCATTGTTGCAGCACACTTCGCTTCTAGCAGCCACCTTGTTATTATATGTGCTTGCTCCATAGTCCGGTGCCTCTAGAAACCTATGTACTAGATCAGGGGTCTCAAGACTTTCCAAAGAAAGGGCCAGCTTACTGTCCTTCAGACTTTAGGGGGGTCAGAGTGGCCAGTGGGAGTGGAAAATGTCCCAGTGAAAGTGGGAGTAAAAGAAAAAAAATACTAAGTGCTTGTAGTCAGTGGAAGGAGGAATAGTGTCCCATCATTGGTATTAGTTGGAGGAATAGTGCCCCTCATTGGTATTAGTGGGAGGAATAGTGCCCCATCATTGGTATTAGTGGGAGGAATAGTGCCTCATCACTGGTATTTGTTGGAGGAATAGTGCCCCATGATTGGTATTAGTGGGAGGAATAGTGCCCCATCACTGGTATTTGTTGGAGGAATAGTGCCCCATGATTGGTATTAGTGGGATGAATAGTGCCCCACCATTGGTGATAGTGGGAGGTATAGTGCCCTATCATAGGTGATAGTGGGAGGAATAGTGCCCCATCACTGGTATCAGTGGAATAAATGGTGCTGCGTAATTGGTATTGGTTGAGGAACAGTGTCCCATCATTGGTGTCAGTGGGATGAATAGTGCCCCATCATTGGTATCAGAGGGAGGAATAGTGCCCCATCATTGGTATCAGAGGGAGGAATAGTGCCGCATCATTGGTACTAGTTGTAGGAATAGTGCCTAATTGTTTTTATCAGTGGGAGGAGTTGTGCCCCATCATTGGTGTCAGTGGAAGGAAAAATGCCCCATTGTTGGTGTCAGTGAGAGAAATGGTTCCCCACTGTTTGTGCCAGTGTAAGAAATGGCACCTCCCTGTTGGTGTCAGGGCAAGGAAAAGTACCCTGATGGCCGGATAGAGGCATGCAAAGTGCTGCATTTGGCCCATGGGCTGCAGTTTGGAGACCACTGTGCTAGATTACTTAATGTAAGTAGAGCAGATGCTTCCAAAGAGGGACAGTGCACAAGACCTAAGGTGGATACCAGACATGCCTAAACTGTGCCAAATGTAGCTGAAGTTAAAGGGATATTTCTGGGGATAGCATAGCTGATTGTCAGAACAGGAATGGCAATCTGAACTCAAAGCTGTGGCAGAGCTTAGGGCTGGAAAAATTAATTCAGAGCTGAGATTTGATCAAATTGGGTAAAATCTAGGGAAACAAGCAAAGTATACACCTATCAGCCATAATTTTTATGACCCGCCCACCAAAATTTGAATAGGTCCCTTTTTTGCCACCAAAACAGCCCTGACCCATTGAGGCATGGATGCCACTAGACCTGTGAAGGTATGCTGTGGTAGCTGGCACCAATACAGATTCTTGAAAGGGGTGGTAGAACCTACCTGCTTACTTGTACCTACAGGTAAGCCTAAAATAAGGCTTATCCATAGGTACAATAACGTGCAGTTTAGGAGATATTTACCATAATAGCAGCCAGTGACATCACCGGTGCACGTGCACTGCACTCTCAATGGACGGTGTGCTGTGCCTGTGACTCCTGCGCATATGCACAGGAGTGATGTCATTGTGACTCAGCCAGTCAAACAGCCGAAGCCTGCAAACCCAGAAGAAAGACCGGGTGAAGATAGAGGCGCCTACAGCAGTGACAGCGCACCGCTGGAGGGCTTCGTTCTAAGGTATTTCATAATGTGCTAGTATATGATGCATACTAGCACATTATACTATTATTTTGCAGGGAAAAGTTTTTTTGTTTTTTTTTTTTTTTGCGGTTTACTAGCGCTTTAAAGTGGTTGTAAACCTCAGACATGAGCAATGAAGAAAGCATATCCCTCTATAGTGTGTACTTGTCTCAATTAGGGGCACTAAGCTCTGGTTCACACCACTGTGACTTGTCATGCGATTTGAACCATTTAAATTGGAGCAACTTCAACTTTGCGGCACGGCACCAATTTTTAATAAAGGTTCCTGCACTATTTTTGCCGATTTCAGGTGCGACCTGCATAGACATCTGTGCATGAGGCCACATAGATGTCAGGCAAGCCACACATGAAATCGCACTGACCAGCGGCTTTGAAATCGCACCACTTCAAGTGAAGTAATGCAATTTCTAAGCATTCAGTTTGAACCAGGGCTGAGTGTCATTATTGTCTGCTGCTTCATTCCTCTGTTATCAGCATGAATCACTTCCGAAAAGTTTTCCTGACACCAAGAGAAAAATGGTGACGGGGAGGGACCTCAAGCAGATTGACAGTCTCAGCTCTGCTCCTGTGTGTTGTGTGAAGGAGGTGTGTCCCTTCCCTCCAATCAACTCTCACAGCTCTCCTCACTGAGCAATGCAGAGTGTAAATTCAGCTCCCCCCCTTTTTTTCTGAACTCTCAGACAAGCTGTATAAATGTCAGACTTTGAATGTAGAAAAGAGAAGACTGCAGAAAGACAGGTACAACTTATTTTGGAGGATTTGTTTCATCTCTATGTATCACCTGAGACCAATCACTTGACAACCACTTTAACTCATGTAGGTTGCGAGGTGGGCCCTCCATGGATCAGACTTGTTTTTTCCAGTACATCCCACAGATGATCAATTGGGTTGAAACCTGGAGAATTTGGAAGCCAACACCTTGAACATGTTATGTTCCTCAAACCATTCTTGAACATTATCCTACTGAAAAGCCACTGCCATCTGTGAATACCATTTCAATGAAGGGTTGTAATTTTTGAGCAACAATGTTTAGGTAGGTGAGTCGTGTCATGCAACATCCACATATGAATGGCAGGAGCCAAGTTTTTGGCTGTAGACACAGGTCAGCATGGGCACCCTGACTGGTCTGCAGCTATGCAGCTCCATACACAACAAACTGTGATGCCCATTTTTTCAGCTTTCAACACATCAACTTCAGGGAAACATGTTTACTTGCTGCTTATTATATCCCACCGACTTTCAGATGCTATTGTAATGGAATAATCAATGTTATTCACTTAACCTGTCAGTGTTCATCAAATGATGGCTGTATCAATGTATGATGGTGGGCATGAAGGTACTGAGGACAAAGACAAGAGAATTGGAAACACACATACAAACCAAGGGAAGCCATGTACAGATTACTTTGCTAGTGCCTCTGGTCTGACTATGTCACAAGAGAATTTTAGACATTGCCATTTTTTACTTCAGAGCATGTTAAGTTCAGCTGTCATACTGGTTCACTTGTCTTTGAGTTGCTGAGCTGCACTAAGAATGTATTAAGAGAATTCTAACCTTCATTTAAAACACACTTGTTTTGGGCAACCTAAGTTACATAGTTAGTCTGGCTGAAAAAAGACAACAGTCCATGCAGTTCAACCATTAATAAAAAAAAACAAAAAAAAAAAAATCTAGCTTTGGACTAAGTGGCAGAATTTTTTCCTTTGTTTTTCCTGCACGTTTGAGTTGTCAGGGTTTGCCATTTTCAAGATGGCTGTAGCAGTGCAAGTACACTCTGAGCATAGACAAGAGGCAGTGATGCGACAACTTTTCCAAGATAGCGCTGGGAGCCGAGCCCGCAATCTGAGCATGCTCAGCTTTCATATCATCACTGATGGTCAGGGGTGCCAGTTTTAAAATGGTTTTAAGGCATTTTTGAGCAACATATGGTGGTGTTCTCTACTCAGGCATGCTGGATGCCTCTGCAGTCATTTTCTGCAGGTACTATTTCCCTCTATATGGCATTCACCTGGGGTCTTTCTACCTCAGACTCACTCTCTTTTGCTTGCTGGAATCACTGTGTTATGCTGTTTCTTTATTTCAGTCTGCTGCTTTACCCTGTCTCTGTGGAGAACACTGACCAGTCAGACCACCCATTACCTGTAAGGCAAGTAGTGAAGGTATTGAGAAAAAGACAGCATCTGGTCTCAATGCTTTTTGTAATCTACAGCCCTGCAAAGACCTCAAAACGGAGGGAGCCCTCTAAAAGCCAAAACAGGTGACCATCTTGGTGCAAACTTCTACGCAGTGTTGATCAAGGGTATCATCTTGCTTCTCATTATTATCGTCACCCCCCCCCCCCCCCCCCCCTACAAATATCACAGGTTATCAGCCCTAATCATTGCTGTGTTTGTGGTGGAAAGACATTGCCTGACAAGCTAGTATATCAAGTCTACTTGAAAGAAGCAGCAACTGACAAAGAAGCAGATATTCGATTGTAAGCTCTAACGAGCAGGGCCTTCTGTTTCCTCTTGCACCAAATTGTATTGTAACTGTAATATCTACCTTCATTTTATAAAGCGCTGTGCAAACTGTTGGCGCTATATAAATACTGTATAATAATGATAAATAATAATAATTAGGAAAGTAGTGGCTTTGACTGAAGAATCATCCAAGGTTGTTACAAGGTCAGTTAAGAAGGCAATTACCTGGGGTGAAGTGGAGGAAACTTCACCCCAGGTAATTGGGTTAGAAGAGACTTCCCAAATCTCAAGAAAGTTTTGGTTTCAGTTCCCTTCATTAAAGGAGGAGTTAATCCACGAAGAATGATAGGGGCCAGAGAGCTTTTATGTAGGATCTGCAGACTGGCATTAACATTTGCAGTGGTAGGCAAAGCAATATGGAGTTGAACGGCTAACATCAAAAAAGCCCTTCTGGAGGAAGTGGAGAGAGACAAGGTGGTAACTGCTATGTAAGAGCTAAAATTAGTGGGTGGCTTTGTGATGGAGGTATCAGTAGACATCATTAGATGTTCTTTAAGGGTGATGTTGTCCACAGTCATGGAAAATATGGCAATTTGGTTTAAGCCATGGTCTGGAGATTCCACCTCAAAATCGAACTGGTGCAAGATACCAGACAACGGCTCCAATCTATTTGGGAGTAGACTGGATACAGCCATTTCAAGGGTAAAAGTGGCGGGTCAGGGTTGATACCATCTGGCAAAAAAACCCCAGAAGAATCAAGAAGGTCCAGCATACATACGAAAACTCCCAGGTATGTACATGGAGGCAGACCGGGAAATTATTAAAAAGGAAACTTGAGAAGTACCCAATTTTCATTATTGAAGCCTTAAAAATCTAAGGCACCTGTCTTGGGAGAACAGCAGAAATCCTTTTAAAGGTGCGCTCATCCAGGGGCTACCTGTGGGAGCCAGTTTGAAGCTTTGCGCATACACCTTGATAGAAAATATCCAGGATCAGTTGACCTTGTCTATATCAGTGTAACATTGGTGAAAATTTATGGGATGTTCACCTTCTTATGACTTCCAGCCAGCCAGGCTACCAGATCCAACAGAAAAGCAAAAAATTCTGGTCCAGTTTGTGGCGAAATTAATTAAAAATTGAACTATCGTGAACATTCCAAGAGCCCAGTGGAGAAAAGGATTTTGTTCACCTCTGTCCCTAGTGTAAAAAAATCAGGTCATCTGTGCCCAGTGCTAAACTAGAAAAAACTCAACAAGCATATGTAGCTGGAGTCGTTCGAGATAAAGAATCTTCAATCAATTCTATTATCGATAAATCTGGGAGATTGGATGCTCTCTGTAGGTTTATCAGACACCTACTTACACATCCCACTCCACCCTGCATTCAGTCGCACTGCCAGTTTCGGTGCCTTCCCTGCAGTTGGTGTACCTCCCCAAGGACATTCACAAAGGTCCTATTGTTTGCCATAACGAGGTAGATGAGAATACACCACTGCCTTGAAGGCATCCTTCTTCTAGGCAAGGAGATGCTTATTTAGCATTGGGACACTCTGCTACACAATCTTCAAAAGTTTTGGTAGCTAATCAATTGGAAGAAGAGCTTCCTCTGCCCAACCCCAAAAATTATGTTCTTAGGGGAATTTTTTGGATACACAGAAAAATTCAGTAGAACTTCCACGAGTGAAAATCCGGCCTCTGATAGAGAAAGTCAAAGGTGCTTTGGGAGTGAAGTCTCTTCCAGCAGAACAGTGCCTGAGTATCCTTGGATCTTCTTAATCGACCAACTGTTGTTTCCGAATGGAACATTATCACATCTGATGCAAGCCTGAAAGATTGGGGAGCGAATTTCAAGGAGCAGACTGCTCAAGGTCATGGGATGTTTAGCTTACTAGGTATAGTATCAAGTTCCCTTGAACTGAGAGCAGTCTTAAAGGCTCTTCTGGCATTTACTCCTTTGATAAAAGGAACAAGATTTGTATTGTGCCTAGACAACAAAATGGCAGTTGCATACAAACAGAAGCAGGGGGAACGAGGAGTCGAACCCTGATGTTGGAAGGGTGACTGTTAATTGAATGACCTCAGATTCATCGAAAAGAGCTGAGGCCAGTCTGTGTGCCAGAAACACAAAATAAGTTTGCGGACTCTTATCAAACGAATGGTCCCACAGTTTAGGGTGTTCACTCAGCTAACTCTGAAGGGGGGAATCTTCCCAGGTGGATCTAGGGACAACTCCCTGGAATATGCAATGTGGCAGATTCCAAGCCAATTCTTACCCAGCAGTGGAAGGGTAGAATTCTTAAGCTACCAGTGGAGCAGTTTCGATAATCGCAATGATACCATTTTGGCCGAAAAGGCTCTGGCTTCTGTCCCTCCTACAGTTGATTATTGAGTCACCACTGGCTCTGTCAGTGATGCTGGATCTGCTCTCTCAAGTCCAGTTCTTGCCATCCAGCCCCAAGAGACTACATTTGATGACATGGGAGTTGAGAGGTGGAGGCTTTTACTAAGTCAAGGGTGCAAATTGCTGGTAATGGCTACCTTGCTTCAAGCCAGAAAGGTTTCCATGAATAAGGCTTACCAGAGAACATGGGTAAAATTTGCAGCTCTCATAAATCCTGGAGTCCTTTATAACCAGAACCAACCAAGGCTCTGCAGTTCTTACAATCAGGGCTGAACAAGGACCTAGGTTCAAATACGTTTAAAGTTCCAGTTCCAGCCTTGCCCTCACTTACTGGAGTTCAATGGGCCCCTAACCGTTTGGTGATGTAATTCTTAAAGGCTTGCATCAAGTTAAAACCTCCCAGGAAGCCATTGTTACCTAAGTGAGACTTGCCTACAGTCCTTAAAGCTCTTTCAAGGCCTCTTTTCTATCCTACAGAGTTGGCTGCACTCTTAAATCTAACCCTGAAAATAGTATTTCTAGTTGCCAGAACCTCTGCGGAAAGAGCTGCAGACATTTGTACTCGAAAAGCCTCCCCTAACGTTCCACCTGGACAGAGTAGTTCTAAAATTCTTTTATCCACTTTAACCAGGAAGTCAATTTACCATCTTTCTTTGGTGAAGCGGGAGAACTGCATCCTCTGGGTGTTGGCCTAACTCTGAAGGCTTCCTTGGCAGCCACCTCTTCATTTAGGAAAGCTGAAATCTGTGCTTGTTCGCACACAGCTTAAGGCAGGGACAGTCAGCTTCAACACACCTCTCGGATTGTTAAGAAAATTAAAAGAGCCTACACTTTACAAGACCTTCCCGTTCCAAAAGACTTAAGAGCACATTCAATCAGAGCAGTGGCAACTCCGTGGACAGCGCAGTGCCAAGTGTCTTCTGAGGCTATTTTGCAAGTGAGCAACATGGTCCTCCCAAAACACCTTCATTATGCTCAGCTCACAACAGTAGATTTTCAAAAGTTTGCTGTGCAGGCGCATACTTGTGCTACTAACCATTACAATTTTTTTCTTAGGCCTTCCCATCTGGCGAGTAATGCCCATTGTATGCTGCCATGATGCACCAGGAAAATTGAAAATTGTATATTCACCTTTCAGTAATTTTCCTTTCCTGATGCATCTTCATGGCAGCATACAGATTCCCACCCAAATGGTGAGTTACAGAAAGTGCTATGAGCCGGTTGTGTCTTTAATAGTTAACCAGTCCTATCCAATTGCAGGGGTGGAGCTACACCCACTGTTTGCTGCCATGAAGATGCATCAGGAAAGGAATATTATGGGAAGAGGAGTATATAATTTCACATTTTATAGCAAAAAAATTAAAGAACTACACAGGTAGAAAAGTGGTTAACCAATCTGTCATACTGACCGATATGAGCAGAGACAGGCTATGAGAGGAAAACATATGTATTTTCTTTACTACTTACTTTGAATTTATCTGAGAGTCCATAATCAAATGACATGATCATGTCCACTTTGCGTTCTTCTCGTAACAGTGGTGGGAAGCTCGCATTGATGTAATATGCACAGTCCACCAGGCAGAGGTCTTCTGCACAGGGGGTCAGGTTGTTAGGGGAATTATCTAATTCTGTGCCTAGAACAAACATATCACTATTACAAAAGAGCAACAGGTGATTAATACAGATACGATTACCCTGAAATCTCCTCCATATTTAAACTGTAGGGCCCATGTGACACAAACAATCTTGGCATGTGCCAGTCCACTCATTAGTTCACTATTAACTTTTTACTGCTAAGTCCATATACACCATTCTCTAAACCCTGATGAAGGGGCAAAAATGACCTCCTAAAATGCATTGGCTTTAAGTACAGCTCTCATTTGGTTTTACATTGGAATAAATTTGTATCTAGACTACAATATCATGGTGTGGTGTTTCAACTCTAAATCTATTAACAGCCCAAGGTGGCAGCAGAACATCTTTGATGTGCAAAAGCTACCAGCCAAGTGGCCAAACATGATGCATCCAAGTTGTCCTCACACCAGGTGGTTGGGAATATGAAAGCTTCAGGGATCCAGCACCATATATCAACTTTCCAAGACTGGAGACAACCCATCAGCACTAACAGACCACTTACCTTTTGCTATGAAGGTGATGCCTTGCTAGCAAGAACAGAAAGTGACCCCATTAAAATAAGTGGAAGCCTCTTCTTGATATTGCTGCTGCCAATGTATTTCAAGCTATAAAATTGCTCATCTAAAAGGGTCCCAAAATCTTATTCACCCCAGTCCTCTATGATATGGAGATGTTACCACAATACACAGTCAAGTGCCCTATGCTCCTTGGTGCACTATCTATCCATTGTCGTATTCGACCCTTGGCGATTGCATGGACCGTCACTCGCAAGCGACTTTTTCCATGAATTCTCTTAGCAATTATTTTACAGGGTAGATTGCCAGGTCTTTCCTCAACCCCTACCATGCAGGGAATCCCGCATGGCCAGGGATGAAACTAGGACAATTTAGACAGGAGCCAATTAACCTACCAGCATGTCTTTGGAGTGTGAGAGGAAACCAGAGCACCCAGAGGAAACCTATGCGAACACAGGGAGAACATGCAAACTCCATGCAGGAGACGCCATGGTTGGGAATCAAACCCATGACCCAATTACTGCAAGGCAGAAATGCTAACCAATAAGCCACTGTGTCGCCCCCTTGGTGCACTAGAGCACAGTATAATGCATGTTGCTCTATGCCTTGCTTTGATGGGAAAATACAATCTGTAGTGCGTTTCATTTTGAATGGGCTCACTCCTGAAATATATACAAAATTCTTGAAGCCTAAGTGAACCCTCAGTTTAAATTGGCTAAATACAATCTAAATGCATCACAACAAAAAAAGTGTTGAATGACTTACAGTTTGGTTTCTTTCTAAAGCAGCCACAGCCTGAGTAGAAAAGCCTGTCCTCTGCCAGCATCTGCAGAGTGGGGTAATTGCTCTTTGTGTGCAAGCAGTGGTCTTTCTGTAGAGGTCTGAAAATATTCCTACTGAGTTAGACCTATAGCTCTGTAACCAAGTAAGCATATGCTTCCTGTTGCTTGGAGCTCTGTGGCTCTGACTTAGCAGGGGGTATTTCGAACCTCTGCAATAGGACCACTGCTTGCATACAAACAGCAAGGGTCCCACTCTGCAGTTGCTGGCAAGGACAGGATTTCTACTAGGGCTCTAGCTGATTTTTGAAGACAAAAAAATGTATGATTTTGTGCACTTTTTTGTTTTCATGTACCTGGAATGTATTTAGCTAATTTAACCTGTTCAGTTCAATTTGGCCTTAACTTCTGGTCAAAATAAACATAAATAAGACACTATTTAACTGCCTTACAACCATAACTCCATAATCTTTGTACATTACGCTGAACTTACCATCAAATGTACAGAAGCCATTCTCTGTAACGTAATCTGGATGCATCTGTAATCCTCTTAGGAAATTATGATGTTCTCCATCAAGAGGGCGGTTAGTAAGAACCCCTCGCACTCTGCGGCTGAACTCCCCTGCTGGTTGCAGAAGGCGTGTGTCCAGGCAGGCTGAGGCTCTTCTCCTCTTTATGGATTCTTCATCATCTGTGCAACACAAACACCAAGCTGTGACTACTATACTCTCTTGCTTTCTTTCACAAAGCCTACAGATTTTAGCCAACAGTTTTACAGTAGTCAACGTACAGCAGAAAGAGAGCAAGGGTAGTGAGCATAAACTACACCAATAGCCATATGAAATACTCAAAGTATATGCTAGCCTAGGAAAGGAGCTACTTTGTACAATTTGTTAATAAGCAGCAAAATATGGATGGTATTCACTGATCAGCCATCATATTATGACCACCCACCATAACAACATGACCGCCCACCTAAAATTGAGAAGGTCCCTCTTTTGCCACCAAAGAAGCTCTAACCTCTGACTTCGCTAGACCTCTGATGGTATGCTGTAGTATCTGGCACCAAGTCGTCAGTAGCAGATCCTTTGAGTCATGTAAGTTCTGAGGTGGGGCTTTCATGACATCAGACTTGTTTTTCCAGCACATCCCACAGATGCTCAGTTGGATTGAGATCTGAAGAATTTGGAGGCCTTGAACAACTTCCATTGCTACATGTTCCAGTTCTGATGTTCTTTTGCCTGTTGTAGGTGCTTTTGGCTGTAGACAAGGGTCAGCATGGGCACCCTGACCAGTCTTCAGGTACACAGTCTCATACGCAACAAACTGTGATTCACTGTGTGTTCTGACACCTTTCTATTGGAAGCAGTATTAACTTTTTCCGCAGTTTGAGATACAGTAGCTCTTCTATTGGATTGGATTACATGGGTCAGCCTTCACTCCCCACATGCATCATTGAACCTTGGCCACCAATGACCCTGTTGCTGGTTTGCTGTTTTTTCTTCCTTGGGCCACTTTTTAGGTCCTGACCACTGCAGACAGGAATATCCGCGAGAGCTGGAGTTTTGGAGTTGCTCTGACCAAGCCATCTAGCCATTACAATTTGGCCCTTGTCAAAGTCGCTCCAAACCTTACATGTGCCCACTTTTTCTGCTTTCAACACATCAACTTCAGGGACAACGTATTCACTATGTTGCCGAATATATCTCACCAACTTTCAGGTGCCATTGTCATTTCATATCATAATGTCATGGCTGATCAGTGTAAGTTACAGATGTTGTCCCTAAGGGCTTAATACTTAGGTGAAGCTGGTATAAAATTGAACAAGCAATTAATTACATAATCAAAAAAGACAAGACAAAGCTGGGTGGAAAAGCAAAGCTCGTCAACCCTCAAGATAAACTAGTGCCACATCCTAGATCTAGTAGGGAGAACAAAAGAAAAAAAATATTGGACCGCAGTCCATAGACTTTATGGGCAACACATGAAAAAGTTTTTTCTAAAAAAATACAATATTTATTTTTGCACATGTTAAAACATCGTTAAAATGGAAAGAAAGAAGACACAACTCAAAGTAGCATCTTGCACCCTTATGTCGATTAAGATGGTGGATCACACATTATACACAGAACAAACTAGTAGTCTTGCGATCATAGGACTTGGCTAGGGGATCCCAAATGTTTTGGAGGATGGTTACAGACCCCTGTGGTACCCTGTCCTTTCACACTTAAGATCTACTGTGCTGGATCCCCAGATGTTTACATACCATTACCAATGACTGTTAATTATCTTTTGTAACATGTGCCCGGTCTGGGGACAGCATTTCCTGTGAATGAACAGGAGGCACCAGCCTTAGGGAGCATTTTTGCCATTTAGGATAGATTGGGTCTTACATTTTTCTTCCCCCCTCTTGTACAATATCTATATGCTATGAGATCTCTTGATAGTCTGAGCTAGTCCTTGTGGCGTTCCACCTATGAGATAATCTCTTGCTACTGTTTTGTTTAGCAACCAAATCTGTGCACCTTCTGCTCCTGAAGAAGCGGAATAACAATGCAAAACATGTCAAACTCTAGGTGTATGGATGGTGACACCCTCTATTATACATACTCATCATATTATAAGTCTATACCTCTTGATCTCAAGACTACTAGTTTGTTCTGTGTATAGTGAGTGATCCACCACCCAATTCGACATAAGGGTGCAAGATGCTACTTTGAGTTGTAACTTATTTCCATTTTAATGCCATTTTAACATGTGCAAAAATAAAGATTGTATTTTTTTAAGGAAAAACTTTTTGATGTGGTGCCCATAAAGTCCAAGGACTGCGGTCCAATGTTTTTTTTTTTTCTTTTGTTCTCCCTATAAAATTGAAAAAGACAAATCTTTTATTGTTTCAAAATGTTTTGGGACATCCAGGCCCCTTCATCAGGAAAACCATCAAGATAGGAGCTAGCTATGTCAAAACACACTGAGACAAAGAAATAGTTCCTTTGTTTCCTACTGCTGCTGCTATACTTGCTTATCCCTGGTTCAAAGCCCCAGAGTCAACCTCTGGAACTGAGAGTACAACTTGCGCCCTTTATGTCCTGAGCAGAGTCTTTCCTGGAGTATATGTTGGTAATTAAATCTGTTCCTTTTCACTTGCAGTATAAATATATAAAAAATAATGCTCCCTCCTTGTGCAGGGTGATTGGTCTTGTATCCGCCCCCTCCTGTAGTTATCTACAGGCAGCCTGTAGCTGATAGAGATCTTTAGTTTTTGCCACAGCTCTGCTCTCTAAACAGCATAGTGATGATGTCACTGCTACATTTACAAGGTAACAATTGGACTTGCAATGTGGATTTATAGCTGTTGTGACCTTTAAGGAATATATTCAAATAAAAGGTTTCATGCTTGGAGTTCAGCTTTAATTTTTCTCATCAATATTGACATGCTTTTTTTTTTGCTTCAAGCCTACTTTTCTCCCAATACCAATCTTTTAGACTGCATAAACAGCAGGGCAAAATGCAAGTAAACTGCACCTTCAATTAATTCGGAATGATCACAGAGGCATCTCAAGCTGATGTAAAAACAAGCTGAATTTGCGCATTGATACAGGCCTATAACTGTTCCCTACCTCCAATTTACATAGAGTATATAGAAGAGAAGACATACCCAAGTCAAGCACATTGTCTCTGGTGAACCTGTGCCAAAAGTGTTCTGAGCTTACAGCCGCATACCAGGCATCCAGCAGATTAATAGAGAAGACATTACTCCACAACCCTGTCAAAATAAAGCATGCATTATAATATACGTCCCAGAAACATGTTTGTGCAACACTGTACTAGTGTATCCTGTCATTCATTCTTAAAAAAAAAATCTCGAGAGCACTTCCTGGATACAAGCAACATCAGCTTGTGAATTACAATTGCTGTCTAGGGAATGTTGCAGCCATTTTAAAGTCAGAAATCACTTTGGTTTACTTTAATGACTGCAGCTAGATTTAACACAATTTTCAGAATTTAGCTTCTTATCATATAATTCTGTGCAGGCCAGGATCTAGGGGGGTGCTGGGGTGGGCTATGCCCCCCCAGATTTTAGCTGTGCCCCTCCAGACCTCTGAGAATGCATCCACAAATCCATGAAACCTGATGAGGCAATTGGTGTACGGGGGCACTCTGAAGGGGACAGCAGATGTAAAGGAAAACTCTGATGGAGACAGTTGATGTAAAGGGGCACTCTTGGGGGGGGCAATTGATGTAAGGGGGCACTCTGATGAGGCAATTGATGTAAGGGGGCACTCTGATGAGGCAATTGATGTAAGGGGGCACTCTGATGAGGCAATTGATGTAAGGGGGCACTCTGATGAGGCAATTGATGTAAGGGGGCACTCTGATGAGGCAATTGATGTAAGGGGGGGCACTCTGATGTGCCCATTTTATGTATGATGAGGACACCTGATGTAAGGATGAACTTTTATAGGAGCTTTGATGTAAGGAGGAAATCTGAGAAGAACTCTTGACATAAGGAGGGACTCTGTTAAGGACACCTGATATAAGGGGCACAGGGTCTGTTTAATCACCCTAAACTAATGATAGCATTCCCAGGTCATTCCTGCACCACCTCTGCACTACCTGTCAGATGTTACTTCAGGGTTTGACTCTGCGGTACAGAAGTGTGTCAAGTGAACAGGGAAAACTGGTTCCATGCATCCCTGTCACACTACTGACATTATGCCCCCTGACTTTTTTTTTTATTGCATCCGCAGATCAGATAGGCTAGATCCAGCCCTGATTCTGTGCAAGCTCTCTCTCCTATTCCAGAGACCCAGAGAGAGAGTAATGCTGCAGTCATGAAACAGACTGGCCTGCCTACGCACAGGTTCATGGATATTCAGAAGGTAGGCAGTCATAGGGATTCTCCCAATGCAAGTCTATAGGTGGGGCATAGATACTCATTAAGGCAGAATTTGGCCCTCTAAGCTAGGTAACAGGATTACACTCCCTATCCATTCCATTAGCATTCATAAGGATTTTAACAGACACAGAAGCTGCCCCATTTGTATTGTCAGTAATGGCATAGCCCCATCAGACACCAAGTGCCCACAAGTACACCGTGGCATAATAATGCTAAAAGATGTAGCACTGCTACTTGTAACTAACTTATGTGCATATTAAATAAATAAATGAATCCTTACATAAGTAAATAACCATCAATGCATTATCAGTAAGTTGCAAGAGCTTAACATATAAAACTGATAACAGCGTGATAAATACATAATATGCTCTATAAATTCTGCCCAAGTCACATGTCTGTGACGCAACACGTCGGGGGTAAGTGGAGGCAGACGTAACCGAACATACGGATGCGCTATTGTGATCCTCTGCTTTTAAAGCGATGTGTACTATATCACATGTAAGTGCATTATAAACCTTAATAGATTTGGAAAGTTTTTAAAAATATATTACACTATATGAGGCGTATTCCTTTCACATATGGGCGAGGTAACGCAGCAGATATGAGGCTGTAGGAGTCCATAAGGAACCATATATTGGAGTACTGGTATAAGGAAGAGGGAAAGCGGAGAACCTCTAGTGGTTGGAGGAGAAGGAGGTTAACAAGTGAAGATACTCTGCATACACCCAGTTTAACAGTAAACTGGAGGTGAGAGTTTTGAGAGCACTGAGGTGACAGTGGATTGGATGAAGCAAATCTGGAGCACGGTCACTTTCATACTATGTTAGTGTTGGTTACACGCACTGTACAAGGACTGAATTTATAGAGCATGTTATGTATTTATCACGCTGTTATGAGTTTTATATGTTACACACTTACCACATACTGATAATGCATTGATTATTTATTCACTTACGTAAGGATTTATTTATTCATTTATTTAATATTCACATAAGTTAGGTACAAGTAGCAGCACTACATCTTTTAGCCCTATTCTCTACATTTTATGTGGGAACACATATTGATGTCAGCAGCTATCATGAGTGATATTAGCAATTTTTTTTTTTTTTTTTTATATTTTGATTCACATATATATGTTTTAGTATAGTTGGCACAGGAGTTTCAACATTCATTTTACACAGTGGCATACATAACATAGTTGATGGATTATTATTTAACACCCCTCCCCTTCTCCCCTATAGATCAAAATTATTTCAGTAGGAATTGTGAAATTAATGAATACTAATAATGGGCAGAAAAAATGGAAACGAAGATTTTCTTTATCTGTTTTATATTTTTATATATAATCATGTTTGTAAAAAAAAATCTAGGTCGTGGTAGTAGAGCATGTAGTGTGCTGAAACAAAATCAGGAGACAATAACAGCATGCTAAATACAAAAGAATTCAAGGGTTTAGTAGCAGCGTATGTAGTGCACCATAGGAGACATAAGGAACAGTGGCGCGTGCTTTAAAAGCAACAGGCCTACAGGAGAATAACTTAAAATTATACACAGGGGTGACTTCACAATGTGCAGCGAAAATGGCTATCCTGACAACACATGGGCCCCAAAATACGCAAGTAATAATTGTTACAGTATGCAGGCAGCCAATAAGCATTCATTAAAATTGTGAAAAATGCAGCCAAACATAATTCCAGCCAAACAAAAATGTCTCTATCATCCCCCTCCACCATCCCAGCAAGACACACAACCAGCAGAAATACCCTCTTCCTCAGCAGCCCTTCCTCCCTTCCTGCAACAAAACCCTCTACTAGCAAAAATCCCCTCTTCCTCAGCAAATACCCCTTTTCCTAAAAAAAAAACCCTCTCCTCAGAAACCCCCTCCCCTGTCTCTCAGGAACCCACCCCCCCACTTCCCCCAACAAAACCCCTCACCAGCGAACCCTCACCTTCCCCAACAAAACTCCTCTTCCCCAGTTAAACCCCCACCTTCAACCCCTTTCCTCTTATAGCTGTGCCTGGTAGATAGAGAATCCTTCTGAACTCCTAAGTATCATGTGATACATCAGAGGAGAGGAGGAGCTTAGGAGGGCATTTGTTGGCTCTGTGCCGCCTCTATATCTAAGGTCTGACAGTGTTGCTGTTCCTGTAGAGCCGTGAGTAACTTGGAAATCAGTGTTTGTGGGGAATCCTAGAACACCCAACAACATGGCTGTATCCGAGATGGACCACTTGCCTTCCTCCCCCTGGAGTGGGTCGCCCCCCCTCCCCAGATTTACCACTCAAGTACATCCTCCCATCTTAAGTAATTGGCAGTTACACGATTTTGTCCAGCTGAATTATCTGCCTAGTCTACTGCAGCTGGGTCCCCTGGTCATCCAATGGGCCGTAGCCTCCTGCCTAGATTGTCTTGTGGATGATCTGGCTATCAGATCAGGTGTGACCTGACAACAATATTTTCTATAGGCTTAGAGTAAATAGAGTGGAAAGCACATTCTATGTTAATACAGCTTACCACTAAAAAAATCTTTGTATGAAAATCTTTGTATAATGTTTCAAAATGGCTTTCGAATGAGATGATCTGTTTTGTACAAGGTGCTCCCCAGTACACACCTAAGAACTTACAGACTGGTATTTAGACTGTCCCAAGTTATTATGTATTATTATAGACATCTAGTAATGCTCTAAAAGACAATTTAAATATATAATAAGGTAACTGGTGAATATGGGACAGAATAACAAAAAAAAAAAACAAAAACTGTATATCCCTGCCTGGACAAAAAGGTGCAAACATGAATTCTTTTTTTAAAGCAGATCTTTTGTATTTAGTTGTTTTTATTTAAACAAATGCACAACTTGTGCACGACACACTACAAACAAATCAAAGCACACTGGTCATACGGTGATAAAACAACTGTCAGTAAATAGCACACATACAAAAGAAAAAAAAGAGGTGGTAATTTCGTATACACTGTATGATCATATATCCTACAGCAATAAAACTATTAAACCAGCACAAGTTGATCCAAGTCTGTTACTCCTTCCAATAGTATCTAGCTCAGGGGTGGGCAAACTTTTTGACTTGAGGGCCGCAATGGGTTCATATATTGGACCCGGGGGCCGGACCAAGAGTAGATGAATGATGTGTATGTGTCATCCATAGTAAGTATAGTAATATTCCCCCATAGTAAGCATAGTAATTAATCCCCCATATAGTAATTCATCCCCCCCTATAGTAATTCGTCCCCCATAGTAATTCGTCCCCCATAGTAATTCGTCCCCCATAGTAATTCGTCCCCCATATAGTAATTCAACCCCCATAGAGTAATTCATCCCCCATAGTAATTCATCCCCCATATAGTAATTCATCCCCCATTTAGTAATTCATCCCCCATATAGTAATTCATCCCCCCTATAGTAATTCATCCCTCATATAGTAATTCATCCCCCATATAGTAATTCATCCCCCATATAGTAATTCATCCCCCCTATAGTAATTCATCCCCATAGTAATTCATCCCCCATAGTAATTCATCCCCATATAGTAATTCATCCCCCCTATAGTAATTCATCCCCCCTATATTAATCCATCCCCCATATAGTAATTCATCCCCCATAGTAATTCATCCCCCCTATAGTAATTCATCCCCCATAGTAATTCATCCCCCATAGTAATTTATCCCCCCTATAGTAATTCATCCCCCATAGTAATTCATCCCCCATAGTAATTCATCCCCCTATAGTAATCCATCCCCCATATAGTAATTCATCCCCCATAGTAATTCATCCCCCCCATATAGTAATTCATCCCCCATATAGTAATTCATCCCCCATATAGTAATTCATCCCCCATAGTAATTCATCCCCCATATAGTAATTCATCCCCCATAGTAATTCATCCCCCATAGTAATTCATCCCCCATATTAATTCATCCCCCATATTAAGTCCCCAAGTCCGCCCTGTGTCAATTCACTTACCTTTGCTCCGCGCGTTCCTCTTGTTCCTCTTGTTCCCGTGTAGCATGAAAATCTGTCTCCTATGAGGATCTGTCCCCCTCGACGTATCTGCGCATGTGCCAGTTTCAGGCATTAGCAGCCGATCGGCGATCTCCGGCACATGCGCAGATACGTCGAGGGGGACAGATCCTCACAGGAGACAGATTTTCATGCTGCACCGGTCTTCAGGGCGGACTGTGAGAGGAGCCTAGCTCCGCGGGACGGATTAAAAGGTCCGCCGGGCCGCATACGGCCCGCGGGCCGTAGTTTGCCCATTGCTGATCTAGCTGCACGTGTCTTTCCACAAACTTATAAATTCCAGCTGTTATACCATACAACTAAGGGCCCCACATATTTATAGAGAGAACAATCTATTTGCAAGCATATGGAGCGGAGCCAAACCAGGTGTTGCCAGCCAGGGGCCCCATATAATTTAAAATATTCTCATACAGTTTCTGTGTTGAAATATTAGTTTTTCTCCGGAGATTACATTGTTAACCTGAGCTTTCCACTCTGTTATGGAGGGAGGGTTAGGCGATATCCATTTTTATGCTATCAATTTACATGCTATATATAGTAACCTGGTGACAGAAGGCATCAGCTCAGTGGGTACAATAGACTCCTTAAGACATATTTTAGGTTCTGCGGACAAGGGCATCTCCATAGCATATGAATAAGATCCGCCGGACCTCTGTCACATCTAAGACACAAATCTGTGTCTCTACAATTCCATCTATACAATTTAACCAGCGTATGATAAACCCTAACAAGTTTGAAGAGTTGGGTTAGTCTCTGGGTTGGTGACAAAGACACTATAGGGAGGGATTGCAATGCCTGTTCCCATAGCTCCTCCGCCAGTGGTCCTAAATCTTTCTCCCATCCCCTTCTAGCTGGGATAGATGTGCGTGAATGTATCTCCATCATCAGAGTCCCATATAAATGAGAACTTAGACCTTTTTTAGAATCAGTTCGCTTAAGCAACTGTAAGATTGGGTGTTTTTTTTCTGCTATAAGATATGTATGAGCCTGGGTAGTTAAGGCATGTCTCAACTGTAAGTATTGAAAAAACTTCTGTGTCGGGAGATTAAATTCCATGTGAAGGGCCTGGAATGTCTTCAAGGCATGGCCATCATACAATTGGGATAGATATCTCACCCCCCCTTTCCTGCCACATCCCAAAACCCTTTAATTTGTTGACCTTCAGAAGAAGCAAGTTATTCCAGAGTCAGGCACTATCAGTACAACCCTCCCATTTCAGTATTTTATTAACAGAAGACCATAATTGAAGAAAAGAAACAGTATGGGAGAGTGTTGGGATGACACAAACATTTCAGCTTCCATCTGTGAAAGAAAAAAGTATTCAGACCTAATAGACAGTAAAATCGCCTGAATAGGGTCTGCAAAATCAAGGGTATCCCAGCCCAGAAGATGCTGAAGCTGGGCGGCAAAAAAAATCCATTTTGGGGTGTGAGATGGCCAATGCACCAGCATCCCTTCCCAGTTGAAGTGTGGATAGTTTAATTCGGGGGGGGGGGGATTTCTTTTTCCAAATAAGTTCTCGAAATAGAGTATCAATCCATTTATACCATTTTTGTGATACCCAAGTGGGAGAATTATGCAGGATATATAGTATTTGAGGGGCCCAGATCCTTATAATTAAGTTAGAGCGGCCAACTACCGTTAGGGGGAGCTTACACCAGCAAGCAGACTTTTGTTTAAATTTGGCAAACACAGGGCACAAATTCAACTCCAAGTATCTAGACACTACCGGATGAATAAGAACAATAAATGAAGAGTCAACAACGTTAATATTAAAGCCAGCAGGGGGTAGCTCTTGGTTTAATGGGTCTAGCAAATATGAATTCTAATTATGAAATGCAACAGAAGACAGCTCCATAAGAAGCATATGACTCACCCTGAAGGAAGCAGATTCTGGACTCTGGAAGAACTGTTGTTTTTCTGCCCATAAAGAATTCACTGCCAAAGTCTTCAGAACGTATGAAGGCTCCATATTTCAGCAGTCCAACTTCATAAGGGGAGAATTCACACCACTCTAAAAGGGACACACCGCAAATCTGTCATACAGTGCTGGATACTGACATTAAATATATAAATATTGTATTTTTTAGCAGTAACAAACTAACAGATAACTACAAAGAATAAAATATCTCTTCTACTTACTTTCAGAGGATTTATTCCACAGGCAGCTTGCAGTAATAATACACTTGATTAGCCATGAAAATATATTACATGATTACATCTCTAGTACGTGTTTTAAATGAAAGCTTGACAAATTTTGCACTAAATGCTTCCCTTCATTTTTTTAATCCATATCTTCCCTCCTTTGACCTTTTAACCTCATGCTATGAATCTGTCAACTTTGTCCATTGTCCAAGTTTCTATTCATTTTCCACTCTGGCTGAATCCGAAAAAAGGTTGACTAAAGCTTTCAGCTAAATGGATGAAGTACCAATAGATGTGGAATACTCTGCTGTACTCCTGGATAGAAGTCTTACAAAAACAACTTTCTAAACCAGGGGTGGGCAAACTTTTTGACTTGAGGGCCGCAATGGGTTCATATATTGGACCCGGGGGCCGGACCAAGAGTAGATGAATGATGTGTATGTGTCATCCATAGTAAGCATAGTAATTAATCCCCCATATAGTAATTCATCCCCCATAGTAATTCGTCCCCCATATAGTAATTCATCCCCCATAGTAATTCATCCCCCATAGTAATTCATCCCCCATAGTAATTCATCCCCCATATAGTAATTCATCCCCCTATAGTAATTCATCCCCCCTATAGTAATTCATTCCCCATATTAATTCATCCCCCATATTAATTCATCCCTCATATAGTATTTCATCCCCCACAGTACTATTCCCCCCCCAAGTAGTAAGCCAAGTCCCCCCTGTGTCAATTCACTTACCTTTTGCTCCGCGCGTTCCTCTCGTCGTGTTTCCCGCGCCGTTCCGGTCTTCAGGGCGGACTGTGAGAGGAGCCTAGCTCCCCTCACGTTCCTCACGCTGCCCCGCCGACACACATTCTGACAGCCAATGTTTGCCACGCTCCGCGGGCTGGATTAAAAGGTCCGCCGGGCCGTAGTTTGCCCACTGCTGTTCTAAACAATTCTTAATGTTTCAAATTGATAAAACAGTTAATCAGAGCTGCCAAATAATTGCCTAACCTCTGCTCTTATAGAATTGTTTACCATTGCCTGAAGCATGCCTCATGGTACAGATCATCATCAGCAGTAGTGGTCGCAGCTCACCTCTATCCAGTCTGGGGGCTACAAATAGTTGAGAACCATCACTCAGGCAGGAGGAGGCTAATTGCAGCCACTACTGCCAGTGATGTGTACTATGAGCAAGGGATGTCGATGACATCATCAAAGAAAGCACCAGATCTTGCATTACTGTTTTACTACTATTCCCTGAATTAAATTTCTTTTCATCATTCTTCTGGTCGTACCAACTGACCAAGGCAATCATGTTATGATGCGTGATATGATGTATTCAGTATCTCATGCCCACCTTTATAATCCAACGTGGAGTTCTCATTCGGTTTGACATTCATGGATAGATATATAGGGAGAGGGTTCTGTCCATTACACAGAGCTTTCCTCTGATCTGTCAGTGTGTTTTCATTCACCTGTTCACAGAAAAGCCATCATTTAATAAAGGCTGTATATATATTTGTTTGATTAAAAAAAGCAAAAGCTATTGTAAATAAGACAATAAAAAAATTCAGCAATCATATGTTAAGTGCAGTATTTCACATTAGTCAAATGGAAGTCAATTGACTGAAATTGGAAAAGTAAAAATACATTTTGATGAGCTTATACAACTTGCTGCTCATTGCTTTTGGTCTTCCAAAATATATAGGAAATAAAAAGAAAAAAAAAATCACTGTAACAGTATTGTCAGATTTAGTGCCAAATATTTGTCTGTTTCCTGTAAAGTACAGTAAACCTTCTTACAGATACACTGTCACAGTCAGAGTAAAGTGGTAGTATCTCTTGATAGTTAACCCCTCAGTTGGGTGTACTCACCAACCTATGCTCCCTCTCCAGTTTACCACTGCAAAGTCCACCCTGGGGAAGTCCCAGAGTCAGATGATGTCCTAGCTTTCTTGGGTGGGTGGCATCACTGCGAATCACCTGACCATGTAAGGACTGGGCGACTGGCTACTTAGGCCCAAGCACACCAATCACATTGGAGAGTTCACATGCTCAACAATACCTAGAAGCCCTGCTCTAATAGAGCAAGTGAGTGAGGGCTCCAATGAAGAAATGGCTCACATATTATTGAGCATATCTTGCTGGGTTGGTTTGCCCTGAATAAGAAAACTGGAGGTGTCTTTTTAAAACATAAAGAGACATATGCCATGATTTCCAACACAAATAACAAAGGGTTTCATTGTTATTTTAGACAAAGCCATCCAGATCCTTCCAATTGGCTGTCTGTGCATCCTGAACTCTTGCAGTATAGTAAACAAAAAGCGCAATCTTACAAAGTCATCTATAGGGATGTGTACAGAGATGTTTCAGGCTTACTAGCCCTCATTCGTAGAAGGTATGGAACACAGAAATCCACATTCTATGGGATGGAATTTGCTCATTATCATGCAGTAGAAACAGTGCTTCTTATCGGATTATCTTACAGTAATACCATTTTAAAACCACTATGTAACTGATCATCCATCACTTTTCTATATAGCAAAAAAAAAAGATTTTCGATTATGTATCCACTGATAATCCACCATAAGGGGGAAGGTTGTGGTGTTCTTAAGACGTACACTGCTTGGGTGAGTACCGAGCACCTCGCAACACCTCCTCAGACTTGATTTACTCACCTTATCACACATCATGGACTCAATAGCCAGTCCCCATAAATCTGTGAAAGATGTCTTATAGCCCATATCTTCCCTCTTGTTCAGTTCGGATTGAAAGAAAGCTAGACTATCCAAGGAAAAGGTAGACATCTTGCTTTTGGTCACATTCCTGCGAGCATCTTCTACTGTTTCAGATAGATCTTTCTGTGACCAGTTGGCATCTGCATATAATTTACTCATTGCCCTGTATAAAAATGAACACACCATCAGAAAATGAATTACAATTTGTATCTGTTATGGATTGGGAGCCGTTGTAGTTGCAGCAACGCTATACTGCAAGATCAGGCCTGTTCCTGTTACTCTCCTAAATGTTCACACGGTTGCCCAGCTGCGTGCACCACATATATTAGAATATAATATGGTGGGTATAGAGAGGCGTTTGCAATCAGCTGCAGGCAGGAAGTCAGTACAAATCAATGACAGGCTGACGCAAGTCCACAGCTGTTCACATGCAATCACACAAGGAGCAATTACATGTGGTAAAGCCTGGTACACATGGTCCAAAAATCAGATGACTCAGAGGGAACTGGCCAACTTCTGTTGAACAGTCATGCTGGCAAACTAGCATTTGATCAATGCTTGCAGTCATTGGCTGTGAGCACTGATCAGTGTATTTCTGGCAGGGGGAAGGGGGAGTACCCCAATCAGAATGAAAAAATACCCAGCATGAGGAATAGATGAGTGAACCCAGACACAATTTGCATGCAGGGCTGTTCATGTCTCCCCTTCCGCAAGTAATCATTCCATGTGTGATTACATGTGAACAGCTGAGGATCTTGTCCCTGGATAAGCAGCCACAGTTAGTTGCAAACACATGCCGTATCTGCCAGCAAAATAATCTGATCTAGGTGGTATATGGGACCAGAAAGCTGTTGCGGTAGTAATGTATAGCATGGGGAAGGGTTAGAATCTTGTGTCAGTCTCTCTATTTTTGAAAGAGAATCCAAAATTCTTATAGTTACTACTGAATTCCACACATAGGAGCCCTCCAAAGTGACATGGATTCTACACGCAGGAGCCCTCCTAGGTCAAAGAGATTCTACACACAGGAGCCCCCAAAGTCACATGGGTTCTACACACAGGAGTCCCCCCAAGTCACAGAGATTCTACACACAGGGAGCCCCCCAAGTCACAGAGATTCTACACACAGGAGTCCCCCAAGTCACAGAGATTCTACACAAAGGAGCCCCACAAGTCACATGGACTCTACACACAGGAGCCCCCCAAGTCACAGAGATTCTACACACAGAAGCCCCACCCCCCCAGTCATCACAGGGATTCTACACAAGGGAGTCCCCCAAGTCACAGAGATTCTACACACAGGAACCCCCCCCCCCCTCCCAAGTCACAGGAGCACCCAAAGTCACAGGGATTCCACACACAGGGGCCCCCCAAGTCACAGGAATTCTACACACAGGGACCCCACCAGTCACAGGAATTCTACACAGGGGTCCCCCAAGTCGTAGGGATTCTACAAACGCGTCCCCAAAGTTTCAGGGATTTTACATACAGGAGCCCTCCCAAGTCACTAGGATTCTGCACACAGCAGCCCTCCCAAGTCACTGGGATTCTACACCCATGTACCTCCCAAATCACAGGGATTCTACACACAGGTGTCCCCCCAAATAATGGTGATTCTACACACACACGCCCCACAAGTCACAGAGAGTCTACACACAGGAACCCCCCAAGTCACAGGGATTCTACACACAGGGGCACCACAAGTCACAGGGATTCTACACAAAAGAGCCCTCCCAAGTCACTGAGATTCTATACCCAAGTGCCCCCAAAAGTTACAGGGATTTTACACACAGGAGTCCCCAAAAATCACAGGGATTCCACACACAGGAGTTCCCAAGTAACAAGGATTCTAGACACAAGCACCCCACAAGTAACAGATTCTACACATAGGAGCCCCCCAAGTTACAGGGATTCTACACACAGGAGCCCCCTAAGTCACAGGGATTCTATAAACAAGGGCCCCCAAAGTCACAGGAATTCAACACACAGGGGTCCCAAAAGTCACAGGAATTCTACACACAGGAGCCCCCAAGTCACAGGGATTATACGCAAGAGGGCCCCCAAAGTCTCAAGGACTCTACACACAGGAGCCCCCAAGTCACAGGGATTTTACACACAGATGCCTCCATTCTACAGTTCGACACCCCTTACCATGTGGATCCAGATGTTCCAGTGATGTAGGACACACAGTCCAAGAGATTCAGTTTCTTTAGTGCTATGAGGGAGCCAAGAAGGGAAGTCATTGCTCTCACACCTCCACCTGTTGCTGCAACAGCAATCACAGGAACCTGTTCAAATGAACAAACAGCATCAGGAATGGCATTCACTCAGAATCAAGAACACATAGCTACCATGTTTAGAATAATGACTTATGACAGTGCAAGAGAACACATGCTTAACGCAGAACTCCAACCAAAAAATCAAGATAACAATGACTGGCCTAGTAAAAGATAAGATAACACAATCAGTATTTGCTGAAGTATTCACCTTCCATCCAGAGATTGGCCCCATAGTATTTTGTTTCTGCCACTAAATGTCCTCAGTCTGATGTCCGCATCATTTACCTGACTTCCCCTGAGCCCAGGTCACCCTGGACTCATCCCCGCCTGTTATTGGTTAGTTAAAGAAGAAGCAGCACAGTGATGAACGCATCTCTCTGTCCCTCTGTGCTCTCCTCCTACCAGCATGATTCTTTTCAGCACATGAACTGATTGGCTCCTCATCTTCTCACAATCCAGTCCAGCAGTACAAAGAGGTTGATGCCAGGTAACATTCTGGTGCTGATCTATACTTTCTGAAACACTGACTCAGGAAAAGTATGCAGATCAGAATATTTGCCTTCATTGCTGCATTCTTGTTCTGAGTCAGAGACTCAAAAAGTATTAAAGTTAGCACCGAACTCCAGATAAAACCTTTTTTTAGCTTTGTGGAATATATTCAACAGCAGTCAGATTCTTATTTGCAGTCTATGCCCCCATTGGCGAGCTTGGGATAGGAAGTCTCTCCAATGAACACACAGACGGCAACACGTTCTTTTAGTAAAATGGTGAAGGAGTAAATCCTCTGCCAGGCTATTATTACACTATCTGTGTCTTCCTGTCCCAGTGACAACTTTCCTTTCATTTCTTGTCCTGTTGTCACATGGATAGGAAATGTGTAGACATGAGCAGAGTGAAAATATTTCACCCCAGCTGACTTTTTTTTTTAATTAGGTTATAATTTCACTAATCAGCTCTGCTTAAGGAGGAACTCCAGTCATTTAAAAAAATATTGTAGGTAGTGGCTTTTAATAAGAAGACACTTACTATCCCAGGAGTCCAGTACTGTCTTCACCTAGGCCTGTTTTTCACTTGTCTTCAGATTCCCAGCATGCCATCTTGGCTGTGGGAGCTGGCTGTGACTTCCTTCTCTTCCTTTTACATCCAGCTCTCTCTCTGGGCAAAGTCACACTGCTCTTTCAGACTAGTCCCTCCTGGGACATATGACGTTTCCCAGGTGGGAAGGAGGGCAGGCCTAGGCAAGGAATAGGAACATGGGAGTAGGTACCTGTCAGAAAAAGGTATCTGCTCCCAGAAAAAAATAACCCACCAATTTAAAGTAGGTGAGGGGAGGAGGAAGAGTAGAACTTTCACTTTTAAGTGAAATTCCGCTTTATGTAAATGTTACTTGTAACTACTAAAACTACTATTAGGAAAACCTTCCCATGTTGCCATGCAAGGCTTGTGACACCCCCAAAGTCCAAATTGGTACTACTGTAATGTAGTTGAAATCACACCCATAATCCCTAAAATAGAGAAAGCTCAAAAAGCCTGGCTTATAAACTGAAAGTGGGGATGCCATTTTCTACTTGGTTGCTAGGAGTAACTTTGAGGCATTCTAGGTCTTGCCAATAAACATGAGGTTTTCTTAAGGTGAATATTTTTTATAGCAAACAATTGCCTGGGCGGCACCAAATGATTGAAATGAAATTAGAGCTTAATTTATTAGTTATTTCACTAATATAACTCCCAAATGAAACTCTCAAAAAGAGATCATGGGCAGCAGAAAAGAAAAAGCAGAACATAAAGGACAAGTGATTTCATTACGGAGTTTCTTTCCTGGACTTGAGACCCGAAGTTTAGAATGCTGAAAAAACAGTTCCATAGACAGATGGCAGGTATTTACTAAAACTGGAAAGTGCAAAATCTGGTGCAGCTCTGCATAGTAACCAATCAGCTTCCAGGTTTTACTGCCAAAGCTTAACTGAACAAGCTGAAGTTATAAGTTACCATGTACAACTGCACCAGATTCTGAGTGCATCAGTTTTAGTAAATCAACATTCTGTCATACCATCCTCCCACTTTCTGTAAATTGTGTGATTGGCTTTAATTTGGGCCGTGTAATTCAAATTAGTAGCAGATCACACCATTTTAATTTTGTATAAATCTAACACATGTAAAATGGGAACCTCCATGCAGTTACCCGTCTGCCTATAATGATATACAAGACTTTGTGATCACATGATGTAACCTTCTACCACAAATCTGTTTTCTACAAGTAAGGCAGGTAGAATTTATTGACATAAATAACTAACTTTGAAATTGCAGTCATCACAGTCAGTTGATGACTTGCCATAGAAAAAATGCCTTTAAACATGATTCCAATTTGCACATGGAGCCACCCATGCCAATGACATTGCTCGGTAATAAGCAGGTGCTGTCTGGAATGTTAGTGACGGATTACATATTGATGGGGATCTGCCTACCTCGTGCTCTTGCAGGTCTCGATCAAGATTCAAAACTTTCTTTAATGTGTCAGCTACAAGCTTTTTCCTCTTTGAGCGGAAATTTATTTCCTCATCACAGATCCCAAACCCCAGACGGATGTTCATCTTATCTGTGCTGGAAAGGCAAACCACATTGATACAGGTTACTAGTTCATAGCTATTCATTCAACGCAATGTCAAACAAACCCGGTGTTTTCTAAACTAAACGCCAAGCAGCAATAATTATGAGAGAACACATGTATCAAAAACAGCAGAACCACAGTAACAACTCCAATTGAGAGGAAAATTCAAAAGCACAGAATGTCATCCTTGTGGAATGGAGCTGGGACAGACCATGCCATAACAATATGCTATGGGATTGATTTACTAAAGGCAAATAGACTGTGCACTTTGCAAAGTGCAGTTGTGCCAGAGCTTAGTAAATTAGGTGAAGCTTCACTTTGCAAAGAATACCCAATCACATGCAAGGAAAATTAAAAAAAACAGCATTTTTGCTTGCACATGATTAGATGATGGAAGTCAGCTGACCTGCTGCTCTTTTACTAAGCTCTAAAGCAATTGCTCTTCATGCGCAACTGCACTTCACAAAGTAAACAGTTTATTTGCCTTTAGTAAATCAACTTCTTTATCTAACTGAGAATTCAATACAAATACAATTCAATGCATGATTATTTAAACTCAAAAAACAAAAATGTTTTTGGCAGTTTACCAGTCAATGGATGTGGTGGCTGCATTATTTTCCTTTTACCGGGATTTTTTTCCTTTATTTTCACTACTGATCCTGCCAAAACCATACTTTCTGTCCTAGGAGGACGAGTGTTGTTACCCTAGGCTGCTCTCCTCATGTAGACTACAAACACCTCTTTCTCTTTTCATCTCTATTACATGGGAAGTAGGTGTACTGCAGTATACAGAAGCAGATAACATTGTTTGTGATATCAGTTTAGTGCATACACATTTACAAAGGCACTGAAATTCTGGCAAAACTGTAGTACTTGAAGAAAAAGTTCTTAGCCTGAAAAAAAAAAAGAAAACTAATGCAGCCAGGACATCTACAGAATGGAAAACTGCAATATATTACATTTGCACTCTTTGATTCAAATAGCGTTTAAAAAGAACCTGCTAATAGAAATACATATACTGTCATTGCTGACTTGTCTTTTAAAAACCCTTGCTGAATGGCTGTCATGCTGATCCAATGGCTTTGATAGTTTTAAACTGAGGCCACTGACCCATAGCAAGCATATATATCAAGAGTTCTGTCTTCACCAGCTGATTGGTCAGTCTTGGACAGTAACTTATAGCAGGGCTTGACAAATTTACTTTGAATCTAGGAGCCAGCTGAAAAAGTTAGGAGACAGGGTTTTTTTTAGCATAGCGTGGGTTGTCAGTGTCCGGGACTTCATGCGATGCGATGCGATTTGCCACGCAACAATCACAGCAAAACTGCACCACGTTTTAGGCGCCAGTGAAAATAATGGCACCTGAACCTGTGTTTTGCGATCCTGTGATCCCAAAATGCCCAGGTGTGAATGGAACCTCCCTGGTTCACACATATGTGATTCTGGATTTGTTTTAAAACTCACAGATTCTCATAACAGGCTAGCTATTTTGTGTTTCTATTGAGGTGATTCAAACAGATGCAATCCACACGCATTGTGTTTTAAGTGCCATTATGAAAAGGGTCCTGTTCGAGTTTGTGGCCGTGTGTTCCAGACTTACAAGTGATAGAGTAGAGTGGCAAGCAGAGATAAGTGTTCAAGGTGAAAACCCCTACCATAGACTTCAATGCAAAAATGCCTCCCATAGACATCAATGCGAAAACGCCTCCCATAGACTTCAAGGTGAAAACCCCTACCATAGACTTCAATGCAAAAATTCCTGTGAAGTCTATGGGAGGCGTTTTCGCATTGATGTCTATGGGAGGCATTTTCGCATTGAAGTCTATGGGGCGCGACTTCCCATAAAAGTCTTTAAGGCACAACTTTCCATAGATGTCTATGGGACACCACATGCTATAGAAGTCTATTGGGCGCGACTTCCCATAGAAGTCTATGGGAGGCAGGCAGTGTGTGTGAACCCTGGCACCAGGATGCAATTTCTAGTCGCCATTGCTACCTGGCACCTGGGATTTGTCGAGCCCTGAGGCAGACAAGTAATATTTTTCATTAGGAACAAAGCAATAGCAGGTTTCAATTTCCTATCTATACAGAATTGATTGAGCTGTATGGCAATCAGGAATAGTCATGGCTATGCTGATGTGTCTCATAAACTGAAAAATCAGTGAAAGGGTTTCCCGGGTGTGAAGATTAGAGACAGACAAAAAAAAGACATTCTAAGGTCTTGTTAACACTTACAGGGGGACTATAAAATTCATGGGTGAGCCATGTTTGTACTGTTCCCCCCAACTGCACTCCCTTAAGCTGCAAAGACAGCATATAGGGGTGTACATATGCAGGAAAAATTATTCAGTAGCTCCTGCCGAACATGACCCGTTCAACTGAATGCAGTGTAAACAAGCCCATACAACCAGTCCAGACCCATCCACCAGAAAGCAATAACGTATTTTATATTGACTGCCTGGGATGTACAGTAACTAGCAACCTTTAAATCCTTCTCCAATTTGAATGCCTGCCATGTTACGATTCCTCCACAGATGTCCAGGTCATCCAAAAATTCAAAAATGTGTCTAGAGAATATCCAAGTAAGTAATACAATTACCTTCGTGATTTGCTGAAAAGTCGGAGAGACTACATTTTAGAACTTTGCATAGATGATGGTTTGGTGTACAGTGTTGTACACAATATTCATTTTAAACCGTGTACAGTATTTCCTTGTCCCTTGGGTGTTTTTCCTATCCTGTACATTAATATGTAATATTGCAATTAAGTCGAGATGAATTTATGACAGTCAGCTGATTAACATCAGCATTTCAAAATTGGGAACACCCTTGGAGAACTGCTTTGCGGATCCCTTGAAAGACAATCACATTTTTGCTTCAGAAAACAAAGGCCTCAGCACAAGACAGAACCCGTCACACAACAATTTATTGTGCAATAATGGAGTGTAAGCAGAATCTTCCAAGAAGGTTCTGAACTGTTAAACGTTTCTTCAACTGTGTTCAATCTGGTTAACTGTGTGCATGAGTCAAAGAAAATTGTTACAATGTAGATTTGTTGCACTGTGTCCTAAGTTGACCTGCTGAGCTAGTGGTTCCAGAGAAGGAAGAGTTAAGGTAGAACTATAGGCAAAACTTTTTTTTTTTCATTTTGGACAGAGCAAGGGAGGGTTATAACGCCTGTCAGATTTGTTCGCCATCTGTGTCCCATTGCTGAGATTTTCCTTCGCTTCCTGTCCCACAGCCAATCAGGAAGTGAGAGGAAATCCCTGCAAATTAGGGGAATTCCTTGGGATCCCCAGGTCACCAGAACTAGTGTCCAATTTCTATGATAGTGGTAAACAGGACAAATAGGGTGCATCTCCCTAATGGGGGCACACACTGCTATAAAAACGGACAAGCTAATATCCACTCTATCCAAAACTAAAATAAAACTTTTTGCCTCTAGTTATACTTTAACACTGCTGGCCAGGTTTTCCCGTTCTTTATAGGAAGCTTACCACCCCCTGCATGTCATACCATTTAAATAGGAGCTCATTAGTCCCCTGAGAGGCTTTTGGGTTCAGGTCTGCCCAAATGTGCCTGGGGAAAGACTGCCAAGATGTAGCCATTACTCCGTTGATCTATGCCCCCTTGTGGGAGCCCAGTCAGAGTTGCCATTGGGGTCGGGACCTGTGAATTTGTGAGGACTTGAACTACCTGTTGCTGGATTTACTGCCTTTTGTAGAATATTACCAGATTATTGGCTTAAAAGAGATGCATGCGGAAAAAAAAAAAAATATACTTACCTAGGTGGATGCAGAATCGATCCGATGCTGTATCTGTCCCCCGCCAGCAAACTGAGTGATCAAAGACCACTGATCACTCAGTTTTCAGCATTTTGTGAGCAGAGAGCTGGGGACTGTTAGTCTTCAGCTCTCTGCTCTGCCCCTCCAGGGCTCACTTGAGTGCAAGGTGTGGAGGGGAAGGGAATGGCTAGCTCAGTCTCCCAGTGGCTCACTGAGAGGCTGAGCCAGTTGCCGGTCCAGGCATCATATGATCAGGATCTATTCATTGGGGTCTGGGACCTGTGAATTTGTGAGGACTTGAACTACCTGTTGCTGGATTTACTGCCTTTTGTAGATTATTACCAGATTATTGACTTCACCCTCGGTTCACATATATGCGGCCCTGCGTTCCACGTTTTGCACGTCATGAGAGCCCATTCATTTGAATAGATTCCCGTGCCTGTGACACGCAAGGAAGAAGTCCCTGCACTTTTTTTGAAAACGCAGCACGCACGGGAACCTCGGGTCCCAGTATGGTTGCGTTTTCCAGTGCAGATGGAGTGCCATTAGAACTAATGGCACCTGCCCACCGGTCTGCACTTCTCTGTGCGGGTGGTGCGGCTGCATGGATTTTCGTGCGGATCCGCAGTGGCACCACCCGCACAGATTTGAACCTAGGGTAAAAGAGACGTATGCAAAAAAAAAAAAAAATTATACTTACCTAGGTGGATGCAGCATCGATCTGATGCTGTATCTGTCCCCCGCCAGCAAACTGAGTGATCAAAGACCACTGATCACCCAGTTCTCAGCCTTCTGTGAGCAGAGAGCTGCGGACTGTCAGTCTTCAGCTCTCTGCTCTGCCCCTTCAGGGCTCACATGAGTGCAAGGTGTGGAGGGGAAGGGAGTGGCTGGCTCAGTCTCCCAGTGGCTCGCTGAGAGGCTAAGCTTGTTATAGGTCCAGCATCATATGGTCGGGATCTTTTCAGAGCTTGGACCGGGTCTGTGACATCAGCTGACAGTGGGCGGGTCACAGGAGTGCACAACTAACTTTGGCTATACTTCTCCTTTAAAGGGATTACTTGCTACCTCTTGTGGACTTATTGCCTATTATGGACTTTTGCCTTGAAAGGACGGTGTACAGAAAAGTGTGTGGAAGATGTCTTTGAGAACTGTTTGTTTGTTACCTGCAACTATCTCATTAAAAGCTCTTTGGTTCATCA